AACTCGCTAACAAAAAACAGAAAATGAGAATGACAGGGCAAGGGGCCCGCGATTGTGCGGTACGGCCGCAAAGCAATGCTTCGCACATCGGTAAGCCGCTCAGCCAGTCTGCTCCTTCCTCGATCTCTCCAGGGCCCTGAGAGATCTCATCAGCTTGGCAGCGAACTCTGCCGCCGCCTCCCATGTCCTCGGGTCCGCCAGCATCTGCGGCACCAGCGTATCCACACTGATGGCTGCACCTGCTATCGCCTCCAGCTCGTCCCTTTCCTCGTCGAACCGGCGGCAGTCGAAGATGACGCGGCCGGCATCCTCTGTTATCCCGGATCCACATTCCGGGCAGCTTTCCTCCGCGTAAAGTAGCTACGGAAGCATCCATGCCCGCTCAGCACCTGGGTTGGGTAAAAATCTACCTGTCCGTTCTTCCGCTTTGGGATCATCCTGTGGGTCGAGCGACCTTTAGACGAGGCATCCCACCGGGCCTGCCTTTTCAGCTCAGCATGTCACGAATGTCCGCCTTCTCGCGGATCAGCTCCCTCAGAGGGACACACCTGCTTACACCAGCACCGCGTCGTCCAAGATGGTTCGGAAGGCGCTCGCCACTGGAATGGCACAGAGTCTATACGTTGACTCGATACCCCGCATATAGGACTTCTTTCCAGCCGCCCACACTGGTGCCGCATACAGCAATTGGGAGGTGATGACGCTGGTCAGCAGCCTCCTTGTGCTCTGCTTAGGTCCCCTTTTGTGGTGGAGTAGTATATACTGACATTCCAATTTGGTGCATTGTTGCCCATGCTTGGCTGCATTTTATACCTTCTGCCAGGTGCTGTCACTGCCGGCCACTATGGCTCAGACGCAGACCGGGTAGCCGCCCATTATGGGACAGACGCTACCTGGATTTAGTGCCGGTTTTTGATGCAGCGAGTATTAATGGAACGCTGATTCAATTTAAACAGAGTGCAGTAAACTTAGGATTTACATTCAGTAACACTCTTAGCTGGAGCAAACATATATCAAAAGCTATAGGGCGAACATACGGTATGCTGAGGCAGCTGTCATATTCCGAGTCATTTCTCCCGATCCAAATAAGGCTTTTAGTAGCCAAGGTTATTCTAATACTGTATTAACCCGGTAATTTTCTCGCTTTGTGCTGCACACTCTGCCTCGCCGAATAAGACTGACTTAGCTTTTACAATGACAGTCCCAACAGAATGTTAATCCAAAGCCAACTTGATTAGCTCTCTCCTAGCCAGAAGTCATCGGAAGTACAGGTTCCCACATCCCTCCCTTATTGCGTCAATAAGGGAGGGATGTGGGAACCTGTACTTCAGCTTCAGGCTTTCTTTGGAATCCGATGTCGTCTCAGTAGTCGCTTCCATTTCCTTAGATGTCTCCGGTGTCCTGAAGTTGGACGACGTATTCAGTGATGTCAAAATTCGGTGTAAGCTTGTGAGGTAATATTACATTTTTAAGAAAAACCTTGTTGCCTACTTTAACATCAATCTCCCTCGCCCCTCTCCTCTTGTCGGCATATTCTTTCCCTTTTTATTTGTTTACTAAATCACGGTCTCTTTCTGCTGAATCACTGTATTCTCCTATCAAATCCTGAACCCCCGGGATTTTGTATCTTATCACTCGATTGAAAATCAATTCTGTTGGCGCAGACCCTGTGGTTCCATGGGGAGTAACATTATACATCATAACAAGTGATTGAATTTCTTCCCTGAGATTATTCTTGTTGGTGTAAGCAATTTTCAGCCTTTTCACTAACGATCTGTTCATGTTCTCAACTTCCCCATTAGCTTGAGGCCAATAAGGCATTGCTTACAATATTCTTTAAATTCTGCACTGACATATTGTCTTCCATTGTCAGTTTTTAACTGTTTAGGGTAACCTAATCTGGAGAAAATTTCTTTCATGACTCCGATTAACGAAATTGATGAGATCGATTTAAGAAATTTGTATTCCATATACCTCGAATAATAGTCGATGAAAACTAAAATGTGTTCGTGGTTTAGCAATGGTCACAAAAGGCGTTCCACGATTCATCCTGCAGGCACGACATTGCATCTACTATCTCTTCGTCGAGAGTGCTTTTCTCTGCAATTTCAGTTATAGTCATGGACGACGGAGTTGCGTTTTCAACTACATGTAGAATGCTATGTTCGCCTTTCATGTCGTAGCAATACCCTGGGTTTATTTTACATAGTCGCGAAAAGATATCCGCAATGCTCTCCTTTCCAGCTTTATACTTGACTACGAATTTGAAAGCTTGGAGGCGGAGGATCCATCTTTCGATCCTTACCGGTGGTTTCGAAGATGCTTTGAAAATGGTCTCCAGTGGCATATGATCGGTTATCAGTTCAAACTCTAGGCCCGCTAGGTAGTAGAACAATTTGTCTACAATGATAGACTTTCCTTTTCGGTCTGTGAATAGAGCTTTTCGACATCTGTCAGGCTTCGACTAGCGAAAGATATTATTTTCGGCACCTTGTCTCCATGAAATTGTAGCAAAACAGCTCCTAATGCAACCGGGCTTGCGTCTGCAATTAACTGTGATTTGTGCTTTGGATCGAAGTACTGCAATTTTGGAATATCCGCTAGGCATGATTTGAGTCTGTCAAACGCATCCTGTTCCTCAACGCCCCAGATGAACTTTTCATCCTTTCTGAGCAGTTGTCGCAGCGAGTCAGTTTTATTTGCTAAATCTGGGATAAACTTTCCCACATATGTTACTAGCCCTAGAAAACTCCGAGTCTCTTCCTTGTTCTTTGGAGGGCGAAAAGATTTAATTGTGTTAATCTTCTCTGGATCGGCCTAAATGCCTTGGCTCGATAATATGTGTCCCAAAAAGGTCAGTTTATTTAATACCTCATTGTTTTCTTTTAGAATGCCGCAAAATCTTTCCAACGCCGCATCGTGCTCATCCTCAGTTTTTCCAAAAACGATAATGTCATCGATGTAATTTAGGACATTCGTGGATGCTGACAGTACTTGCTGAAGTCTCCTCTGGAAAATCTCTGGCGGCGAGTTGACTCCAAACATCAATCGCTTATAACGAAATAGTCCTAAAGGAGTTATAAACGTTGTTATTTCTCGACTTTCCTCGTCTAACTCGAGTTGGTGGTATGCGTCCTTGAGGTCCAGCCTTGAGAAATATCTAGCATCTTTAAGTTGGGTCATGAACGCTTCAAATGTCGGCAAAGGATAATTTTCCCTCAGAATGGCTTGGTTTGCTCGCCGCATATGCAGGCATAATCGGATGTCCTCATTCTCTTTAAAAACCAGAACCATTGGCGAAATCCAGACACTGGGTCCATTTACAGGTTCAATGATATCTCGCTTCAGTGCATCCTGGATTTTACCGCGAACCTTGTCTTCCAGCAGGACTGGTATCCTTCGCATGGGCTGTTGTACTGGCTTTATGATATGATTTATTGCCAATTTGACCCTGTCCCCCTTCCACTTCGGAAAAACTGATACCTCCTGTATATGGTTCACCTGCAGTCCTAGTCGTAGTACATCCAACTTAATGGCCGTTTCTCTTCCCAGCAATGACTGCTTCCCTTTTTCAATGACGAAAAAGGAGGCAATCATTTCCGCTTGTTTACCAATAGAAATTGGTGCCTTAAATACGCAAATTACATTTAATATTTGGTCTGAAGCATAACCTTTGAACTGGTTCTGGGAGTTTGGGCGAACGTTGAATATTGTGGCTTTGTTCCTTTTCAGGATGACCCTGTCGTCTTGACAGATGAGATTATAGCGAGAACCAGAATCAATAATCATAGATATGTCTGCCCCACCAATCCGGCATTTAATCCATTCTTCTTGATGTTCTCAATTGATTTTGAAACAACCCTCCGTCTTTGACCTTTTAGTGGAGGAAAATGTTTCGTGTTGGTTTCTCGATCTCGGTTGAAAATGTCCCCTTTTTAACTTCGTTCTACATTTACGTTCAAAATGGTCAAGACGACCGCAACGATTACATTTCGACTTTCGAGCTGGACAAGTTGAGCAGTCATCTTTGTGGTCAACACGTCCACATCTCCCGCATTCGGAATTTCGCTGTGGTTTACTTATCGAGACTTTATTTACCGACTCCGCTGTATTCCTTGTCATCATCGCAGATTCCTTTTTTATTTCCTCGTCAATTTGACAAGCCTCAATTACTTCATCCAGTGAGTGTTCTTTCTCTAATAGTTTCCTTTTTAGGTCGCCTGACGCCCATGTATCGATTACTTTGTTTTTAAGGCAAATCTCTTCCATCTCAGCTTTTGTTGATCCAAACTCGCACTTCTTAATTTGTTGTCTAAGACGCAGTACAACTTTGGCAAAACTTTCGTCATCAGATGGAGTCAAACCCCTGAACATATGCCTTTCGAAGGACGAGTTTTTCTTTGGGGAGAAAAACGCTGTTAACTTGTCTACCAATACCTGGAATACATCGTTTTGTTCAACTTCGTTGAATTCGACCAAAGCGTCGGGTAGTGAAAACGCTACTGCTTGTAGCTGCGTTCCACCTAGATGGAGTAGTTTAGTCCTCTTTTTCTTGGCGGCAGTAATCTCCTCTGATTCAACGTAGATCTGGAATGCTCTCAACCATTTCTCCCACTCGCTACAAAGCAGTGCTTTGTCAATGCTTTCGCACAAGAATGGTTTAATGAATAACTCCGCGTTCATCTGAACAAAATTTTGAATTTCTTTCACTTAATCAGTTCCTTTAACATGCATATATTTATATGTACATACGTTGACCAACATTGATCAACATTTATACACATGTATCTGCCTTCTCGCTACTGCCCTTATTTTAGTTTTCCTTTCTTTTATTTTAATGTCTTTGACATTTGTCAGCTTAGTGTGTGCGTGTCTGTCTCTACTGCCCCTGACCTTGGTCAGCTTAGTGAGTTTTTTTTAATATTCATTTATTACACAAAAATATTTATTCTTACAACTCGCTAACAAAAAAAAGAAAATGAGAATGACAGGGCAAGGGGCCCGCGATTGTGCGGTACGGCCGCAAAGCAATGCTTCGCACATCGGTAAGCCGCTCAGCCAGTCTGCTCCTTCCTCGATCTCTCCAGGGCCCTGAGAGATCTCATCAGCTTGGCAGCGAACTCTGCCGCCGCCTCCCATGTCCTCGGGTCCGCCAGCATCTGCGGCACCAGCGTATCCACACTGATGGCTGCACCTGCTATCGCCTCCAGCTCGTCCCTTTCCTCGTCGAACCGGCGGCAGTCGAAGATGACGCGGCCGGCATCCTCTGTTATCCCGGATCCACATTCCGGGCAGCTTTCCTCCGCGTCATGGCCAAACCTCTTAAGGTAGCTACGGAAGCATCCATGCCCGCTCAGCACCTGGGTTAGGTAAAAATCTACCTGTCCGTTCTTCCGCTTTGGGATCATCCTGTGGGTCGAGCGACCTTTAGACGAGGCATCCCACCGGGCCTGCCTTTTCAGCTCAGCATGTCACGAATGTCCGCCTTCTCGCGGATCAGCTCCCTCAGAGGGACACACCTGCTTACACCGGGCCTGCCTTTTCAGCTCAGCATGTCACGAATGTCCGCCTTCTCGCGGATCAGCTCCCTCAGAGGGACACACCTGCTTACACCAGCACCGCGTCGTCCAAGATGGTTCGGAAGGCGCTCGCCACTGGAATGGCACAGAGTCTATACGTTGACTCGATACCCCGCATATAGGACTTCTTTCCAGCCGCCCACACTGGTGCCGCATACAGCAATTGGGAGGTGATGACGCTGGTCAGCAGCCTCCTTGTGCTCTGCTTAGGTCCCCTTTTGTGGCTGCCACCTGGAGTAGTATATACTGACATTCCAATTTGGTGCATTGTTGCCCATGCTTGGCTGCATTTTATACCTTCTGCCAGGTGCTGTCACTGCCGGCCACTATGGCTCAGACGCAGACCGGGTAGCCGCCCATTATGGGACAGACGCTACCTGGATTTAGTGGCGGTTTTTGATGCAGCGAGTGCCTGCTGCCAGGCTTGGTCTTCTGCCGGCCACTATGGCTCAGCCGCAGATCAGGGATCAGGGGTAGGGAGATACATGCGCGTGCGGAGTCCCTCGTTGGCCAGGAGTTTCCCCGTGGCTAACCAGGTGGGAGTTATACCGCTCCTGCTCGGTCGCCAGAGCCCCGTTTAAAGGTGTACCGCAGAGCGGTGGGGTTGGCTGTTGGTCCGCTCCTTGACCTTTACCACCTATTTTATCCCCGTGCTCAAAATATAATTCGCTGTGCTCGAATAGGCAGTTCTTTACTAATGCTATCCGTCTGTGGAACTATCTGCCACATAGATATAAGACAATTGGGTCGCAACTCAGTTTAAATCTCTAATAAAACAAGAAAGGAAGCTAACTTCGGCACGCCGAAGTTTGAATACCCTTGCAGATTGGTTTCGATGTTTATATTATAGATTTAAATGGTGAAAACACTCACAAAACAGAGTTTCATTACATTTTACCTATACTTATTATGTTTACAGTTTGACAGTTACAGGTTTACATTCCCAGTTTTACATTTTCTCTACATCTACCGATCGGTTTATATGGCAGCTATATGACATAGTTGTCCGATTTTTATGAAATTTATACCATAATTCTAGAATAATAAAAAAAGCTTATATCTCAGAGTAGATAAACAAACGTTGAAAAACAACGATTGTATAATTTTTTTTCCTATTTATTTCTCGACCGTTCCTATGGCAGCTATATCATATAGTCGTCCGATTTTCATAAAAATTTTACCAAAATTCTGAAATAATATAAAATGGCCATATCTAAAAAATGGTGCAAAAATGTTGAAAAACAGCCAAGTTATAATTTTTTTCTACAAATATATCGAACATTTGTATGGCAGCTATATGATATAGTCGTCCGATCCGGCCCGTTCCGACATATATAGCAGTGAGAGCATATAGAAGACTATATGCAAAGTTTCATTCGGGTAGCTTTAAAACTGAGGGACTAGTTTGCGTAGAAACAGACAGACAGACAGACAGACAGACAGACAGACGGACAGACGGACAGACAGACAGACGGACAGACGGACATGGCTAGATCGACTCGGCTGTTGATGCTGATCAAGAATATATATACTTTATAGGGTCGGAAACGTCTCCTTCACTGCATTGCAAACTTCTGACTGAAATTATAATACCCTGCAAGGGTATAAACATATGAATTATTAATACCAAAAAACACATTACTACAAACACCGTCATTGCCAGGGATCGATCCACTCATTAATATTGCCGACCAACGCTTTAACCAGCACGACCACAGGACCGATTAAATGTGTGATGCACAAACACTAATATGAATTTGAAAGCCTTTTGATTCTCGTCCTAGCAAAGCCAAATATGAAATTTCGTCTCAAAATGTGTTGTCTGTTTCTACGCAAACTAGTCCCTCAGTTTTAAAGCTACCCGAATGAAACTTTGCATATAGTCTTCTATATGCTCTCACTGCTATATATGTCGGAACGGGCCGGATCGGACGACTATATCATATAGCTGCCATACAAATGTTCGATATATTTGTAGAAAAAAATTATAACTTGGCTGTTTTTCAACATTTTTGCACCATTTTTTAGATATGGCCATTTTATATTATTTCAGAATTTTGGTAAAATTTTTATGAAAATCGGACGACTATATGATATAGCTGCCATAGGAACGGTCGAGAAATAAATAGGAAAAAAATTATACAATCGTTGTTTTTCAACGTTTGTTTATCTACTCTGAGATATAAGCTTTTTTTATTATTCTAGAATTATGGTATAAATTTCATAAAAATCGGACAACTATGTCATATAGCTGCCATATAAACCGATCGGTAGATGTAGAGAAAATGTAAAACTGGGAATGTAAACCTGTAACTGTCAAACTGTAAACATAATAAGTATAGGTAAAATGTAATGAAACTCTGTTTTGTGAGTGTTTTCACCATTTAAATCTATAATATAAACATCGAAACCAATCTGCAAGGGTATTCAAACTTCGGCGTGCCGAAGTTAGCTTCCTTTCTTGTTTTATTAGAGATTTAAACTGAGTTGCGACCCAATTGTCTTATATCTATGTGGCAGATAGTTCCACAGACGGATAGCATTAGTAAAGAACTGCCTATTCGAGCACAGCGAATTATATTTTGAGCACGGGGATAAAATAGGTGGTAAAGGTCAAGGAGCGGACCAACAGCCAACCCCACCGCTCTGCGGTACACCTTTAAACGGGGCTCTGGCGACCGAGCAGGAGCGGTATAACTCCCACCTGGTTAGCCACGGGGAAACTCCTGGCCAACGAGGGACTCCGCACGCGCATGTATCTCCCTACCCCTGATCCCTGATCTGCGGCTGAGCCATAGTGGCCGGCAGAAGACCAAGCCTGGCAGCAGGCACTCGCTGCATCAAAAACCGCCACTAAATCCAGGTAGCGTCTGTCCCATAATGGGCGGCTACCCGGTCTGCGTCTGAGCCATAGTGGCCGGCAGTGACAGCACCTGGCAGAAGGTATAAAATGCAGCCAAGCATGGGCAACAATGCACCAAATTGGAATGTCAGTATATACTACTCCAGGTGGCAGCCACAAAAGGGGACCTAAGCAGAGCACAAGGAGGCTGCTGACCAGCGTCATCACCTCCCAATTGCTGTATGCGGCACCAGTGTGGGCGGCTGGAAAGAAGTCCTATATGCGGGGTATCGAGTCAACGTATAGACTCTGTGCCATTCCAGTGGCGAGCGCCTTCCGAACCATCTTGGACGACGCGGTGCTGGTGTAAGCAGGTGTGTCCCTCTGAGGGAGCTGATCCGCGAGAAGGCGGACATTCGTGACATGCTGAGCTGAAAAGGCAGGCCCGGTGTAAGCAGGTGTGTCCCTCTGAGGGAGCTGATCCGCGAGAAGGCGGACATTCGTGACATGCTGAGCTGAAAAGGCAGGCCCGGTGGGATGCCTCGTCTAAAGGTCGCTCGACCCACAGGATGATCCCAAAGCGGAAGAACGGACAGGTAGATTTTTACCTAACCCAGGTGCTGAGCGGGCATGGATGCTTCCGTAGCTACCTTAAGAGGTTTGGCCATGACGCGGAGGGAAAGCTGCCCGGAATGTGGATCCGGGATAACAGAGGATGCCGGCCGCGTCATCTTCGACTGCCGCCGGTTCGACGAGGAAAGGGACGAGCTGGAGGCGATAGCAGGTGCAGCCATCAGTGTGGATACGCTGGTGCCGCAGATGCTGGCGGACCCGAGGACATGGGAGGCGGCGGCAGAGTTCGCTGCCAAGCTGATGAGATCTCTCAGGGCCCTGGAGAGATCGAGGAAGGAGCAGACTGGCTGAGCGGCTTACCGATGTGCGAAGCATTGCTTTGCGGCCGTACCGCACAATCGCGGGCCCCTTGCCCTGTCATTCTCATTTTCTTTTTTTGTTAGCGAGTTGTAAGAATAAATATTTTTGTGTAATAAATGAATATTAAAAAAAAAACTCACTAAGCTGACCAAGGTCAGGGGCAGTAGAGACAGACACGCACACACTAAGCTGACAAATGTCAAAGACATTAAAATAAAAGAAAGGAAAACTAAAATAAGGGCAGTAGCGAGAAGGCAGATACATGTGTATAAATGTTGATCAATGTTGGTCAACGTATGTACATACAGCTGTGTTCACTGAAATAGCAGTGCGACAGAGGAACAACTTCAAAACGTTTTTTTGTACATATTTCTTTTTGCAAGCTGATCTATTGCACATTGTTTTTGTAAAATGGAACATAAAGATAAGAATCGAGAAAAAATTCCGTTAGATTTGCTCTATTTTTATGTTTTATTGATATTTTTCACATATGCAGCTCGTTTTGGCCGATCACTGAAATAGCAGTATTTAATTTTCTTTCGCAAAAAGTGCCGAAATTTCTTTTAATTTTGTAAAAAATGAGTTTAATTACGGTCGTTATTATAGTTTATACTATAATACACCTTTACAACGCAAAACAAATTATTTTCGTGGGCGCAGGACCTCACTGCTCCATGAGAGAAAGGTATCAGATTACTTAGCCTAGAAAGAAGGGCAAAACATGTAAAGAGACTCCAAATCTTTCAAATTGTTCTTTTAAAATAGTTTATAAGTCATGAAATATGAACCAAACCCAAAAAAACCGAGGTACGATTCGCAAAACCTCAATTGTACAGGCTCGACGCGTACTTCGCTTCAGCAAAGCTCGTCCTTTTGCATCCTCTAGGGATATATGAGCGGGAATTGGCATGGGAATCAGTCATGGGACCATTCGCCGGGGACTTATTGAATAAATTTTAGATTCGCGAAGTCCATGGAAAATGTCACTGCTTGGTTAAAGGCATATCACGGCCAGATTGGAGTTCGCCAATAGCCACTTGAACTGCCACTATTCAAATGGCGTAATATCTTTTGGACAAATGACTCCAAACTGGTTTTATTTGGTGGAATAGGACAAGACAATATGTCCGTCGACCTCCAAATACATAGTACCCCCAAAACCATACGCTGAAGACAGTAAAACACGGTGGCCTAAAAGTCATGGTATGGGTATACTTTTCATACAACGTTGTAGGTCCCGTATATATGATCGGTGGGATCAAAGACCATTATGTTTATGTCTAAATATTAAAAACTGTC